AAACAGGTCCCTTCCTACCTGTTCGCCTCACTCAGCCTTTACAAACATTCGATAGAATCGATTTCGGTACTCGGTGACAGACTCGAGGGGGTTTTGAACTCGATTTTTAATCATGAAAAGGGTCTGTTTAGGGTGGATGTAATCGAATCGGTTCAGAAAATCTCGCTCGAATGTCGAAAGATCAACCCATACATAAGTGTTAAACCACTGATGAGCGTCTCCCCCCAACCGGGCGGGAATGTTTATTTGTGCTTCGTTGTCGTCGTACTGCTGAGCTCGAAGCGTGGCCAACCATGCTCCAACAAGGTGGTGAGCAGGATCGAACAAATAAAAGTCGGGTGGAGTCACGGGTACCCTCGCTCAGGGTACGGGTTGATTAGGATTTAACTGTTGATTGGGGTTTTGTTGTGGGTTCGGGTTCTGTTGATTGGCGTTCATGCTGGCTGCTCGTCGAGCCGCTGACCGGCTTCTTGTAACGACGGGGTCGCGTCGATGCGCGTTCCAGGGTCGAGGTCGTCCCCTGTTAGCCAGATCGCTTCGATCTCAGTTGTTCCAGGGGCATAGGTGCAATGAGGCTAAGGGGCGGGTCGCTCTTAGGCTGAAGGCGGTAGATGTCGTGCAGCATAAGGCAGATGGCATGCGCAGTGCATCTTGGGCCTTCCGATCCGCCCGTTCTAGTTACGGCGATTCGGGAGAGGTCCGTTCGTGAGGGTTGTGATTTCTATAGGTCGGACCTCCAGGTGTGGACACGGGGCGATTGACGTCGAGCGTTCTGGTTAGGCTCTGTAATTCCAGAGGCTCGGTGGTTGTCGCGCCGTCTGCAATTTCGACACGGCGTGTGGGGTCAATACGGGGGTATGGAATTCCACGGTACCACCGTGAGTTGGTGGTATGGGAGGAGGACATGGAAGGGAGGGAAATTGGTAGTGATAACGATGAAGCCGGGGGATATGAAATATTGCGTGTTATAAGTAGTCGGGTAGTCTGGGCCCCTCAGATCGCTGGTTATGGCGCGGTGAAAGTCCCTGGCACACAGTCGGTCGTTCTCGGTTAGACAGGGGAATTTCGGGTTTCTCAAATTCCCCCGCAGCCTAAGCTGTTCTCCCTCGAGTCCCAGTATTCTCGGTACTCTGGGTCCTGCAATCTCTCCCAGTCCTCGATGTACGACATCTTATCATTCCAGCGAAAACGCTGTCATCGTCTGCGTGCAGGTTCTGCAGACACGCGTGTAGGCCTCGTCCCTTTCGGTCGGGTTTACACTTGTGTGCGCAAGACCTGTTCGCGACTATGCGTGCACCTGATCGTGCTTCATATGACAAGGGAGTTTCGGGTATGGTTGCGAAAATCCTTGTCGGCTCAGATCCTCACAAGAGGGAAAATTCCACACTTATCCCGATACTCGAGGCGCCAAGTTCATCAGTGACCGCGAATCGTCCGCGTGTGGACACGTGTAGGCCGCGTTGCTCAGATCGCGCTTACACGTGCGCACACGAGATGTTCGATTGTACGGGGGCCTCTTGGCTGACTTTCGTGCAAAAGTGAGGTTTCAGTCCTACATGCAAAATCGCCACGTTGCATAGCCGCATAGATAATCACCCAATCATTTAATCATTCAGTGATCCCGCAAACAATCATTTCCGATCATGCAAAATGACATTGCACACATCAGACACCGCAACAACATCAAACTCTTATCGTGACGACCGCAGATCAAAGTGACAAGCAACGATGATGATTAGGCAGAAACGACAAGCATATCATTCCATCAGGACTTCGTCCATCCAATATACAAAAAAAAGGAAGGATTGAGACTGAATAAGACACCATACAAGGACCAACGTGGAGATAAAGATGTCGAAGGAAAATAGGGGCGAATTGCCCGAGCCGAAATCAAAACTTATGTACAAAAGCAAGGAAAGGACAAAGAAAATTACAACTCTACGTCCACCCATCTCAACTCTCTCTCTCTCTCTCTCTCTCTCTCTCTCTCTCTCTCTCTCTCTCTCTCTCTCTCCCCTCCCGATGCGGACAGTCTGTCGTCACGCACCAACCCACGAAGTTGTCACCCCGCTTAGTCCTCGTGTGCCCGTCTGGTTTGCCCGCGCGCTACAGTCCGTCGTAGCCCCACGCGTCAACCCCGCACATTCGGCACCAGCTCGTCGGGTCGCCCAACTCCCACTCCAACTCACCTCTTACTTCGCTCGTGAGCCGACCCTCACTGATCGCGCCACCCCGAGCTTCCAGCAACTGCTTAAGAGAGCTATCTAATCGCGCAGCCGAAATTTATAGCGTGCATGCATGCGCGAAGAACACAGAATAGCAAGGACTTAGAAAGAGAGAAGGGGAGGGAGTGCCTATGTTCTGCACGGCCAGATCGTGGCGTGGGGGACGTAGCCACTCTCCACGCATCGATCCGATCATGCAGCCTGCGGGCCAACTAGACACAGCAAAGAAGAGAGAGGGCGGGAAAGACGAAGCTCAAGAAGAAAGATACAGTTACAAGGGCGCCCTGCCCAAAATTACAGTTACACGCAAGATTAAGGGCGCCTACTAATCAGAGCTCCGTTGCAGCCGCAAAGAGAAACGCGCGAGCAAAAAGCACCGCGCGGCAAAAGAAATTCCGAATACCTAAATTCTTAAATTCCTACGTGAAAATGCAAAAAGAACTTTAATAAAGCACAAATCCTGAAAAGAAAGTCCAAAATTCCGAGAGCCATCGAGGGCTCGACAAGATCCGAAAAAGAAATTCAAAAAGAAAGAAGCAAAACTCCCGTGCAATCACCACGCCGAAAACCCGACAGCAGAACAAGAAAGAAGCGGTGTCAACCATTATTAATCGCGCCTCCGTCGGCGCGCCAGCCATTCAATCGATCATCCCGGGACTTGCCGAGCCCTGGCCCCAACCATCCGAAAAGAAGCGACGTAAAAAGAAGAACAAGCAAGGACACCGATACAATTTTCCCATTGGATCCCATCTCCCATAATTCGCCCAACCTTCCCAGCTTAGGACCCCTCATTGTCATCGCGCAGAAAATCGCGCGGAATAGGAATTGGTTTGTCAAATGGGAGTCTTGGGGTTCTTTTTTTCCTTTTTCCTTTCTTTCTTTAAAAGCTCAGGGTGTTGTGGAGGCGGGTTACTAGGCATACATTGATCGCCAGGGCCGGTCAGCCATGGTCGTCCCGAAGGAACAAGGCTACCTTCCCATCCCATCCTCACGTCAATACTCCTAGCGCACCCCCTATCTCTACTATCCTACCTCAGTGTGACCAGCACTCAGGACCATTGCCCCTATCGAGGGGAACTTGGACCGAACAGCAGTGACAGGCACCAGGGCTAGCCATGACCCAGCCCTGGTAGCAGCGGAATCGAACGAGCCTCGTCGCACGGGAACTTCGGACGCCAGGCCCAAGCAATCTCCTACTAGCCCCTAAGTTGACCAACTGGTAACTCACGCCCTCTACTCGCCCACCAGGGCCACCACAGTCCTAGTTCATTTTAAGGCGGGGTACTTGTCCTAGAAACGCCTATCAGACCAACCAGTGACTTGGGGTTCTGAGCATTCCAAAAGAGGTCAGTAGTCATTCATAGTTTTTCAACCTCTGCTACAATTCTCTTGAATTTCTTCAATAGTTCTCAGATTGATTCTCAGCCGAAGACGGGTAATGACCAAGGCATCTCAAATGACTTGTGTAACTCTATATGGGACGCTGGGCCCGGTTCCCAGCACGTGCTGCTCCCCACGAATAGACTGGAGCATTTGTTCCCCCCCCAAAAAAAAAAATTCAAAAATCGGTGCCTCGCTTGTAATTTCTTGCAGCTGTTGATTCGGTCGCACGCTGGCTCGCTTTCCCCTCGCAAGAGAGACGTAGGTAGACGGATGCCCACCCACAGAGGTAGGGCCTCGCCACACCACTCTCAAAATGTGAAAAAGACAAATTTGGCGGGCGCATCTGGCCATGTTCTAGGGGCAAGTGCATTCTCATTTTGCATATTTCGAGTGGTGTGGCGATGCCGTAGATAAATGAAGAGGCCCAGGTAAGCGTATGATCGATAGACAACACTGAGGGCCTCGGCGCACTGCTCACCTAATGCACGAAGAGCAAAAAATATGGCAGTCTGTACTTTTTGAAGCGGAAGATTCATTCTCATTTTGCACATTTGGTTTGTACTCTCATTTGGACCATTTCTCGATTTATGCGTGTCATCCTTGCGCAGGGGCGATGCTAATCTTCTCTCTCTGTATCGTTCCAATTTTAACGGATGTCCCGAAGGACTTTGTACTTCCATTTTGAAGTGGAAGATTCATTCTCATTTTGCACATTGGGTAACTCTGTGTGTGCAATATAAGGGCATACTAACACTAGCACTTTTTTACTTGTTTCTGGACGGAATTGCGGCCAGATGCATACGGTCTGATGCATTCTGCGAAGTGCTAGTGGGAGTATACCCTAAGGCGTAGGGGGGGGAAGGGGGACAGAGAGAGGGAGAGTATATATTTGTTTATTGACACCAAGACTCATTTCGCACATTTGGTAAGGGCGAACTTCACACCAGCCACTCGAAATCCCAGAGTCGCAAAATCACCGGCCAGATCCAGTCCTCCTCAAAATCACCGGCCAGAAGAGGGAGAGAGAAAGGGAGAGTATTGCTTTGTTGTCACTAAGACCAACTAAGCGTGGGGGGTCCGGAGGGGACAGTGCCTGAGCGTTATCGTTGCGCAGAGGGAAAGAGCCGACCGCTGAGTTTTTCTGTAGAGATGGATGACTTAGCTTGACATCTGATGGCACGGGACAGAGAGGACGAGCTTGAGGAGGGGGAGGAGGAGGGGAGGGAGGGCACGGGGACGGAAGGGGAGGTGGCGGGACGGGGAAGGGGGGGGGGGATTCTGGTAGTTCGTTCCCCCCGTGTCGTTTTGCGCAGCAGGTGTGCTGCCGTCCAGCGTGCCGGGTGAAAACGATGTCGTCGGTCGTTGACTACTGGTAGCCTGCGGTAGGCGCGCTACGAAGGCATAGCCACGACAGACGGGCAGAGAATCGATTGCACTGCCAGAAGGAAGGTGATCAAAATGGCTATGTCTAGAGGAGGAGTCGCAGAAGAAGAAGAAGAAGAAGAAGGGCCAACAACAGCTGCGCTATCAGAAGCGACGGCAGGAGCGGCAGCAGGAGGAAGAGATGGCAGAGGCGATTCGATTCATCGGTTTCGGCAGGAGGAAGAGATGGCAGAGGCAACGACTGGAAGAACAGGCAGAGGCAGAGTCCGAGGAGGAGATCTTTTGCACTCAGATCCAGCTCCGGCTGTTGATCGGACGGTTGGCTCTGATCCCGGCGAGCCGACGGTCCTTGAAAATGACGAGGAACGGTGTAGAGAGCAGAGGATGGATTCGGACTCCGCCTTTTCAATTGGGAAGAGGCTTAAGATCGTATCGTCTTTTTTCAAGGAGTTATGGGCCTTATGGCCGACCAAGACGAAGACGGTGTCTGCTGAAGCTGCAGATGAACGGTCGACAGAGCAGAGAACGGATTCCGCCTCAGGGTCTCCAATCGGGAAGAGCGTATCGTCGGTTTTCAAGGAGTTATGGCGGCGTGATTTGTCGATTCGCAGGAATCTGATTTGCCCTGCAACTTCAGAGCGAAGGTCAGCAAGAGAGACGAGAATTGACTGGCTCGATCCTATTAGGAAGAGCGTCGTTTTGTCGTTAATGAGAAAGTTATGGGCGCGTGTTTTGTCGATTACCGAGCGTGTGTCTCGGCCTCTGCGCGACAATGTGTCATTCTTTCGCCTACACGTTGCCTATTTTGTAAGCTTGATCCTGGTGGGGTCGTTGCTCCTGTGGGCCATACCCGTACGCCGGCAGAACATGCTGCCTGTTCCCAAGCGTCGGATGGATTTCATCGATGCTGTATTTTTTGCGGCATCAGCCGCGTGTGTCACGGGTTTAATCACGTTGGATATGAGCGTCTTCAGGACCGGGCAGTTAGTCGTTTTGATGTTGTTGTCAGCACTCGGTGGGGGGGTGTTCACATCCCTGGGTCCGGTGTTGGTGCGGCGACACTATTTCCGTCTTAAGCTGAGAGAGACTGAAGAGATGGAGAAGGCAGCGAACGCGGGGCAAAGGTCTGAGCAGCATCAGCAGCGGCTGAAGCAGGAAGATCGACAGACAGACACTCATGGGAACGATGGAGAACAGGCGCATATGGGAGACCCTGCGCGGTCGTCTTGCTCCTCAGGCGGCGTTTCCCAGGCAGGAGGAGGAGGAGGAGGAGGAGAAGCCGGCCGGGACTCGACCCTGACGGTTGATGAAACCCAGGCAGAGGATGTAGGAGAGAAAGTAGTTGTAGTCATAGCAGGAGCCGCAGGAGCACCAGAAGCATCGACAGGAGGAGGTGGAGGAGGAGGAGGAGGAGGAGGAGCAGCAGCCGGAGGAGGGAAGGTCCACAAGGAAGACACCATGACGGTACGGGATGATAGACAGGCATCTTTTCAGAGAAGAGGCAGACGAAGAGGAGGCGAAGAATCGTCTACGGAGGCCGACTGGGATGGAGGCGGCATGAGAGGAGGAGGCCAGCATCAAAGATTTCCTAGCCTCACTTGGAGTGCCGGTGCGGCTTACAAACCAGTGCCACGCGAGATGGTCGGTGACGCTCGGGACAAATGGCGAGTGGTACCTACCGGTAGTGGAGAAGGAGCAGGAGGAGGAGGAGGAAGAAGTGGTGTTAGCGGTAGTGGTGGTAGGCCGGTGGTTACGCCGTCTGGTGGTCGTGCGCGGGATAGGGAAAACACCCGTGATTCACTGGGCTTGCCGCTTTCGTCGGCCCGCGAGGACCTCGATAATGACGATGACGACAACACGGAGTTCTACCTCGTGGACTATCACAAGATCAGATCCGTTGAGTACCTTGCGCTGGCCGAACTTAGTAAGCTGGTGCCTTTGTACTACGGCGTGTGCATCTTCGTGGGCTCGATTATCATGACTATGGTGTTGGCCACGTCGCCAACAGACAAAGCGATTGTTGAAAGGACCGGGGCCAACCTGTACTTCTTCTCCCTTTTCCACTCCTTCATGGCCTTTTGTAACGCTGGATTGTCTATCAATCCGGCGAACTTCCTGCCTTTCTACAAATCGATGGGCGTTCTCGTCGTCGCCGCCACTCTGATTCTCCTTGGCAACACGCTTTATGCCCCCACGATGCGCGGCATCATACTTCTGCTCCATCGCTTCTCCAAGAAGAAGAAGCGCGTGTACGAGTACCTGCTGGACCATCCGCGAAAGTGTTTCACCCATCTCTTCCCCGGCCCGCAGACGAAATGGCTGCTCATCGCCGTGATCGGGATCAATGCCGTGCAGTCTGTGTCTTTCTATGTTCTCGACTGGGAGAGTAAAGGGTTCGCGGAGATGAGCACGTTCGACAAACTCGCTAACGGCCTGTTTCAGTCGATAAGCACGCGGCACGCTGGCTTCCAGACGGTGGTCATACCGTTGCTCAATCCCGCGATGGTCGTGTTGTACACCGGCTTCATGTACGCGGCCGTCTATCCCGTCTTTTTGGCACGTCAGCAATCTCGCGCGCCGCAAGAAGCGTACCATGACGCAGACATCGGGATCCCGATCGTCGACTGGGAGTCGGAGCTCGTGGCGAACAGCGTGAAGTGGCAGGCGGCGGGACTGCTCGGGCAAGACGCCTTCCTGCTGTTCGTTGCTACCTTCCTGATCTGCGTGATTGAAGCATGGAAAATCAGGACAGACGTCAACTTTGCGATCATGAACATCATCTTCGAAGTGGTAAGCGCGTTCGGCAACGTAGGAGTCACCACTGGCATTTGTTTTCCGGTAGATGGGAACGATCTGCAATCGGGCTGTAACTCGAGTTCGCCCAATTACAGTCTGTCTGGAGCGTTCCATCCCTTGTCCAAAGCCATTATCGTGTTTGTCATGTTGTTGGGTAGACATAGAGGATTGCCGCACAACATAGATTCAGCCATACGCATTCCCAAGAAGGCGTTATTTAGGCGACAGACCGCTACGCTGCCGGCGGATCTGACGGACTCGATCACTTTCCTCACAAGCGTGCACAGAGAGTTGACAAGCCTACGATTCTTACCGCAAGTGGGAGAAAATCTGAGGGCAAAGGAGAGAGAAGAGATGGCGGCACTGAATGCGAGGCGGGTGTCGTTGAGAGAGCTAGCGGAGGAGATTCGGAGGGAGACACTAAGGAGACGTGTCGTCGCGCAGGCAACAGAAGGCGAAGGAGGAGGAGGAGTAGAGGGAAAGGGGGATGAGCAGTAGGAAAAGGAGGGCGGGGGTGGGGTAAGCAACGGCAAGGTTGTGTGGGGCTACATGCCTTAAGTTTGTGCGAGAGCTAGAAAAGAGAGGAGATTCAGAGAGGAACGCGTCGGGGACATCATTTGGTACGAAGATAGCAGTATCATTAGTGGTAATAGTAGTAATAGTAGGAGTAGAGGGAACGGAGGCTAAGCAGTAGGAGAAGGAGAGCAGCAACGACAAGGAGATTCTGAATCAGAGGCAGGCGTAGAGAAGATCTGGTACGAAGGAGAGCAGAGGAGATTCTGAATCAGAGGAAGGGCGTAGAGAAGATTTGGTACCAAGGTAGCTCCAGCATTAGTTGTAGTAGCAGGAGGAGGCGGAGGTAGAGGATGGAGGGCCAGGAGAAGAGCAAGGTTGCGTGCAGAGGAGGGCGTCGGCGTCATTCGGTACGAAGATAGCAGCAGCGTTAGGAGTCGTAATAGTAGGAAGAGGAGGAGGTAGGAGGGAGGGGCAGGCAGGGCAGGAGAACAGGAATATAAACAATAAGGAGTTCGTGAAGCCATGGCTGCGATGGGGAAAGATCAAGGGTGAGAGAGAAAAACAGACGAAGATAAATATGTGAAGGGGGGAAAGAGAGGGAGGTGGCGAACAGAGAGACATCCTCCCCCTCCTCCTCCCTCTCATGATCTTTTGCCCTTTCTTTCCTTTTGTCCTCCCCCTCCTCCTCCCTCTCCTGTTCGACAATGTGCATTCTATAAAATGCCAAAAAACTTGTTCTCTGGTCGATCCTCCTTTCACTCCTTTCACTGTACATAGCCCGCCACTCAACGAAAGGAGAGCTGAACCCACGGCGTTTCTCAGACACACACTCATAGACACTTACAAACACTCACAGACTTATGTTTGTCAGACATACTTAGCCATTCTTTTGTACCATAATAGGACGCTGGACCCGTTTTCCAGTAGGTGCAGCTCCCCACTCCTAGATGGGGCCTTACAACAGGTTTTCTCTTGAAGGGGATCATCCTATCACCCCGTTAAGTGGGATCCGGCGTGAAGTTTAAGGGGAAAAAAAAAAAAAAAGATTAAAGGGGGGAAAAAAGAAAAGGAAAGGAAAGGAACATTATAATTTTTAGCGTATTTAAGTGTATAAATAATATCCATGCACGTATGGTCATTTTAATTTAGACGTACTGAGTTGGTACTGAGTTGAGTCAGACGATGGGAGAATGAGGAAGAGCCGCACACGGAAGAAATGCGCGCGGCAGAATTTAAGCTTGCTATGTTGACATGGTCATGTAGTCGGTTGCTATGGGCGACTGGAGTACGTATAGTCTGTTGCTATGGGTGACCGGCGTACTATGTGTGCAGAGTGTAATTACTCAGGAATTATTTGCATTGTAAGTTGAATTGGAGGTTGGAGGTCACAGGCTCAAATTCTGTAGGATGCTGAATTCTTCGGGAAAGTGGCCGAGTGGGTCCATTTGAGGAGGTTAGTCGGTCAGGGTGGGACCGTGGGGGTAATTACTTGGGAGTGTTATCGCACTGGATTGTTCGAGCCTTCGAACGGTTTTCAAATTGAGTTTTTTTTTCGTTTTGAACTCTTGTTTTTCTGCTCGGTTCTTTTTTCAGAGGGGGACAGCCTTGAGATATCGTCACCGGCCCCAGCCTCCAGGTACTTCAGGAATGTTGTTCATCTGGCCTAGCTGGATTCGAACTCAGGTCTGCATTTCAACAGTTTATGGGTGTACCAAGTGAGCTAAGCGCATTGGTTGGAGGGGGATATTTGGAGAGTTGGTCGATGGACCCTGCGCACAGTAAGGGGGTGTGTGTGCTATGCTGCAAGCGCCAGTCGGGGGCTCGGTCCTACCTGCGAATACAGTGAGGGTGTGTGTTCTGCTGCAAGCGCCAGTCGGGGGGCTCGGTCCCACCTGCGCGTTTTCGTTATAGGAGGCTGCCACGAAGCAACTGGCGGCTGTCTAGGGACCATGGTCCTTAGGCGCCTGCCATTCTCTTCGTGGTAACCTCCT